CTGCCTCCGATCGTCTGGACCCTTCTGGAAGCTGAAGGCGGAGAGGAAGTGCAGCGGATACTGCAGAAGTCTGCCATCACTATAAACTAAGTCATGAGCATTACACTGTACTACTTTCATCACGCGGCGGAGAACACTTTAAAAATCGTCACAAGCGACGCTCGAACGGTCACACATACTCACCCCCTACAGGTTAAATCGTGCTAGGGGCGTCCCATTACAGCTGCTATCCATACTTGTGTTCTGCTAAATAGCCACAGGGATAGCTCTTATCTGGTCATGAGAGCGGACAGAGTTGTCGTTGAAGTATACAGCTTCTGCGATCGCCCACTGAAAATATTTTAAAGCTAATATTATAGAAATTAAGCCGATCCCTGGATCAGCTAATCGCGCAGCTTTTCTCCAACTACGTAGTGATCTACGGAACTAGTGTAACCTAAGTGAACTGACTTAATTACAAGTATATCGGGTATATGCCAGAACAACTCCCTCACATTGATATGAAACGCAGCTTGCGTACGGAATGTCAGCAATTTACTTACTTGATGCTGTACTGATAATGCCTGATATAGCCAGCATCGTTTTTTATCGCGAATTGTATCTCTCGACGTGCGACCATCTGCAAAGGGAGTCTGAAGAGCTTGACAGACTTTTCTACCTACGAAGACCGAATACAGCAGGTCCGAGAACTATCTCCATGTTTTGACCGAGCCAGGCTGTGCGCTGATGGGGCAGCAGTCTTGAGCCGGTTGCGCAGGTGATTAAAATCGTGCCCAAACTACATTTTTCGTTTTTCTAAGACAGCCTCGCGATGTTGCAACGCATGCAGACTACCTCGTTATGAGCGAAATGTTAAAAATTAAGCTAGGGATAGTTTTCAGAAAGACCGTCGTCAGATACCTACTTTTCGATATTCTTCCACGCGCACAGCCAAGAATCCACAACTTCACGGTAGGATCAACCGGGCAGATGTCTGGTGCACGTGTATCTTTGTAGCAGGAGAGATATCTGGACGGATCCACTAGAAATTACCCATTTCTTCTAACTGCTCACATCTAGGACTAATAGCTCTTTCTTTATTTATCTATCAAGTCTCAACCTTCTAGGTCGATACATAATTGGGCAATTAGTTTGTCTTATTAATATTCAATGACCGTTTGCAGTTGAGTAAGAGGTCGCGAAATTGTATGGCATCAATAAATTATGCTATTCTCGTGATCTTTGCCTTGTTCTAACTGGTATTTTTTGATCCTGTTCAAAGATGCAATCCTAAAAAAACGAATCTTCAGAGCTCTATAGCTTGAGTCGATTCGTTTACCCGCAACGCTGCCTTCTGTAGATAATATATATTGACGCTGACAGCGAGATATTGCAATCCTAGTCGAGATCAGTCGGATGATCTTTAAATCATCGACACAGCACAGTGCTTTCTTAAAGGGTATAGATAAACAGAATCGCTTACAAGATGTCATCTTGTTGAATGCCAAACCGAACGTCGAATAATTTGGAAAGATGACTAACAGCTAAAACTTGCGCTGTGACCGAGCGATAGCAAACAGCGACTAATTTTGTCGGCATGTTCTATAGCTCCATTTACCATAATGAAATCATTACGAATTGATTTGGATGCCTTGGAACGGCTTCGAATAGTGAACGGGCTCCGAGCGCCACCACAACCAAATCAAGTCCAGATTTGTTGGAGAATATAAAAGGCATTAGAGCGAGAGATTTTTGTGCACAGAACCCTGGGTTGCTGCCTTTGGCAGCAATGACGACTAGCAAGGCCAGGGTCCGTACTGGTGGTGTTATGTCATGCTTGGTCGAGGGGAGAAAACGAGCGATGCAGTGATGTCAGCTGCTTTTCAGTGTTTATGGGAACATGTT